TGTTAAGTTGCGCGAATTCATTATTTAAAGCCAAGACATCGTTCATGGCCGTACCTGAGGTATTTTCTCTTGGGTTTTCCTGCACTGTGTTTTCCTGTTGGGTAATGTTTCTATTTATTCTGGATGGTAGGGCTGGAAAATCTTCGTTTCTAGTGTGGTTCTGTCTCCTCACCTCCCATTGGTTGAGAGCTGGCTGGGGGGCGGGTACATATTTTGTTTTAGGTCGTCTTTCCTCCATTCTTTCAATTTTTGTCGTATAGCTTTGGCATTTGGACTAATTAGCAGGGTGATCACCCCCACAATTTGCACATGTAGCCGGAGTTTCTCGTGTTTTTACACAGGTGCTGGTGTAGTGATCACCCGCACATTTGAGGCACCTGGAGGGCCTACCGCAATTGGCTGTTGCGTGCCCCCATTGCTGGCAATTATGACACTGAATAATAGGTTTTGTAGATTTTCTAAGTTCCCATTGGACTCTAGTGTATAACACTCTTCTTATGTTCTTATTTAGGTAATCCAGTGTCATTACGGGATCCATAATTACCAGAAACAGGGGTCGCTCCTTGGTATTCATTTGATAGATTGCTTTTGTTTTTATGTCATGTTCATCCTCCAGGTTTTCTTCTATGTTGGCTATTTTTGTGCCCTCTGCAAGTCCTCTAAGCACAAAAGCATGAGTTTTGTTCTCTCTAGCTGTATAGGTGTGATAAGCTATTTTTTCTTTTTTGATGTTCGCTACTACACTTGCATGATCCTCTTTATTTTCAACGAATATAATAGTAGTATAGTTCGTGTGTTTCAGGCTAAATTCCCCTTTTATTAGCCCCTTTAAGTCATTGACTAACGTGTTGTGATTGGTGGTTTTGCCATCTATGACAATAGGTGGCATAGTATTCTTTTTGAGTCCTGCAGATCCGGTATCCGGTTTATACGTTTTGTTGACTCTCGTATTCTTTGTTGCGTTACCTTCCGTTTCTGACGTGGGGAGATCGTCAAGGTTAAGAGGCTTGAAGTGCTTGCCTTTTTTACGTTTTTTGACTATCTTGCCGATGTCATTCTCGCTGTCAGAGTCAGATTCATCCGTTAGGACTTTAAATTTATTTTTTGTGGGGGTTATCGTCTGTCTCGTCTTTTCTCTCACCAGTTTGTGAAAATTGGAGGAGAACTTACGTGGGAATTGGAAATTATCACATTCAGTTTTATTTTCGTGCTGTCCATCTTCAGCCTCAGTCACCTGTTCATAAGCCACATTTTCAGCCATGTTTCTAGGTTCGTCACTTCTCTTTGAGGTATGTGAGGGTATTGTTAGCTCTCTCATCTATGTGCTTAGCTTTTCTTTGTTTCTCGTCGTCGGACGTATGACTGTTTGAGTCATAAGTTAGTATCTTTCTAGTGATATTTTTGGGAATGTCGCTGCTGTTTTTATCAACCGATCTTGTGATCCAAAGCTCCTGCAACTGGACGATGACGTCACCGTGCAGTCGTCCGTCCGACTACTTTTGTCAAGAAGTCGATTTTGTGATTTGATTATTCAGTGTTGTCTTGTTGTTAAGGAGGAATGTACGTTGATTTCCCGTCATCTGTCTCGTGTGTAAATTGTTAGTGCACTATGCAGACATCCATGTCTCCTGTCTGCACCATCTCCGTCAAATATGTTTATAATGTCCTCTAATACATTATTAGGGAGGCTATTTTTGTAGAAATTATTTGATATTTTCAGAATATAATTTTTGATAGGTTCTATGGATGCTTGCATGTGCATGTCATTGATTCTGGCATAACGGTTGCACCCCAATGCCAGCCTCAGACACTTGTTTTGCATTCTTTGCAGTTTTTGAAAGTGAGTGTCCGCCATGGAACAGTAGACTGGACATCCATATGTTAATATTGGGCGTAGGACTTGTTTATACAATAACAATTTAATTTCTATGAAGCATGGGGTATAAGGTTCTAAAGGCCCCCATTGTTTTAGAGTATCTGTCTGCTATGTGATCTTTGAACGTTAGCCTCCTGTCTAAAATAAAACCTAGATATTTCATTTTCTTTTTTGTTACTATAGTTTGCCCTTGTACTTGCAAGCTCGTAATTATAGGATGTGATTTCTTTTTTGATAATAATATGCTTTCGGTTTTGTCTGCGTTGATTTTTATTTTATTTTGATCTAGGTAGGGGACTAACGTTCGATTAACATGAATGTCCAGTCTCCTTGTGGCGATTTCTGCCGAATCCGACGATTTGAAGATGCAAGTGTCGTCAGCGTACAGGGCCGTCTGTAAACCATTTTGACCCATTGGAAAATCATGGGTCATGATGGTGTACAGATGCGGCGCAAGTACCGAACCTTGAGGTACTCCCGCTTGCGCAGTGTATAGTTTACTTCTAGTATTATTAATTTTAATGTGGAATTTACAGTTGTGTAAGTAGGTTTGGATTGTTTTCACAATGGAAACAGGGTAGTCATTCATAAACATTTTGTATATTAATCCGTCAGTCCAGACGGTGTCAAATGCCTTAGCAGCATCGAGAGCAACTAAAACCGTTTGTTGGTTGTTATTAAAAGCTTTTTTAGCGTGATGTGCTATCCGAATGATTTGTGCTATCGTACTACGTCCGGCTCTGAAACCGTACTGTTCCGACGGAATAATAGGGTTGTCAAGTTCGTACGTCTGTAGTCTATTTAATAAGACACGATCAGCGATTTTGGCTAAACCATTTAGCAATGAAATCGGGCGGTAGCTTTCAATTTCCCCTTTGTTTTTGCCCACTTTATGTATCGGTACTATGTCTGCAATTTTTAAAATATTAGGGTACCATTGCATTTTGATAACTGCATTAATTAGATAGTGCAGTTGCACAATTGCCTTTTTGGATAGGTTTTTCAATAATTTATTATGAATGCCATCGGGTCCCGGGGCAGTTTTGCTGCGAGTACGCTTAATTAGGTCATACATTTCTTTAGGAGATGAGAGTAAATTTATGGGCACTTCTTGTGTTTCCATGTTACTTATGTCAGTTACAATATTTTCTATGATTTGATGCTGTTCATTATTTTGTTGTTGATTGACAAAATTATCCTGAAAGAATTCGCCAAAGGCTGTCCCTTTTTCTGCGTCTGTCGTGTATGTGTTGTTGTTACGTCTCAGTGTGGAGAGTTGTGAGAAAGGTTTTCGATAGTGTCTTACAACTCTCCACACCGAGTTGTCATGTACATTTACCGCCTCCAGGGTTTTACGCCATACAAGATTTCTGTGTTCTCTAATTGATATATTTATGGCTTTACCGATGTTAAGTAGCCTTGCCCTGTCGGCGGCTGTCCTGTCCGTTTGCCATCGTCTGCTTAGGTAATTTTTGTTTTGTATCATGTCTAAAATCTCTTGAGGAAGATCGTCCTTATAAGGTTTTCTAGTTTTAATTTTTGTGGACTTGTCCCTTGCTAAGAGTATGGTTTTTGTGAATTTTTCGAATTCTTCCTCAAGAGAATTTTTGTCAGTTATATTGTTTGTCATTGAGATGTTTTTGTCAAGTGTTTTTCTGTATGTCTGCCAGTTAGTAGTTTTGTAGTCGTAATAATGACCCTGTATTCTCGGAATTATTCGTGAAGTCTTAATTTCCAAGTATACAGGATCATGATCCGAGGTGAGTGTCTTAATCGTCCTTGTATTGTCGATGTTTGGGAGGTTTTTCGCTAGTGCTATGTCTAGCGTGCTGGGAGTGGTGCCGGAATAGGGAAAATGGGTAGGGTCTTCAGGGTAATGGACAATCAGGTCATTGTCTTCGGCGAATTCGTTCAGGTTATTTCCACTAATATTTGGATTAGTGCAGTTGGAATCCCATGCTGGATGCTTACAATTAAGGTCCCCGAGCAAAAGTACCCTGTTTCCCGATGACATTATTGTGTTAAATTCTTGTTTAAGAAATTTGTTTCTCGGATGATTGTACGCACCCACCAATATTATGTTGTTTATATTTATTACTAAATGTTCTTGCGTAATGACCAATTGTTGTAATATTTTGTATGGTATTTTATTGTTGATAATGAAAGCTACCCCACCCCCATTTTGATCTAGCCTATCGTGCCTTATTACGTCATAGTCTCGTATTTTGAATGTGATGTCAGGTTTAAAGTAAGTTTCTGTGATAAGTATTATGTCGAATTTATGTTTATGAATGAAATTGCGGACAAGAGATGTTTTGTTACGCATCCCATTTGCATTGTAAAAACAAACTTTGAGTTTTTGTGTGTCTCGTTCCAAGAGTTCAGTTCCTAAGTTTGAAATTTGTGTCTATATTGGTCATAAAAAGATTATAAGTTTTAAAAATATCCTGTCCAGATCTACAGTCTAAAAGTTTAGCGTTAAGTGCTCTGACTGCCCTTGTTAGCTCCCCCAAGTTGACTAACCTGTTTAATGTTGTTAATTCTGCATTTAAGGCCATGATATCGCTCATGGCCTCATTAGGGGTTGGTGGATTGCTTCTCGGATTTTGATTCGGGATGTTATCTTTCATATTTGGAGCATTGTCTCTTTTATTATTTTTATTCGGGAGTTCTGGAAATTCTTCTCTTCTAGCATTTGAATTACCTTGCTTATTTTTGTTGTTCCAGTAATTCACTGCTGGGGGTGGAGCTGGAACCATTTTTGGTTTGGGTTTTGGTCGTCTTTCTTCGAGCCTTTCTAGCTTTTCTAAATATGCCTTGCACTTCGTATAATTGGCAGGTTGATCACCCCCGCAGTTGACACAAGTCGCTGGTGTGTCCCTAGTCTTCGAGCAAGTTCGGGTATGGTGATCCCCTGCACATTTGACGCATTGTGAAGGCCTCCCACAATCAGCTGTAGCGTGCCCCCACTGCTGGCAGTTGTGGCACTGTATAATAAGTTTGGACGACTTGCGGAGTTCCCACGTGACTCTGGTATATAGGACTCGTCTTACATTTCGATTTAAGAATTCAAGAGTCAGCGCGGGATCCGTAACCACCAGGAATAGGGGCCGCTCTTTTGTCTTCATTTGGTAAATAGCCCTTGGCTTAATGTCGTGCTCCTCCTCGAGGTTTTCTTCAATGTTATTTTTGTGCCTTCTGCCAGACCTCTTAACACAAAGGCATGAGATTTGTCGTCCCTATGTGTGTATGTATGGAACGACATTTTCTCATCCTTCATGTTTTTTAGCACGTTGTTATGGTCATCCTTGTTCTCTACGAATAATATGGTTGTATAATTCGTATGTTTCAAACTAAAGTCACCTTTGACTAATCCTTTAAGGTCTTGTATGAGCGTTTTTTGGTCAGTTGTTTTGCCGTCAATGACTATTGGCGGCATTAGAGTTTTATTTTTATTTTTGCTAGTGTTTTCATTTGTTTCGGTCGTTTTTGGAACTTTACCCGCCTCATCTATTGTGGTGGTGTATTTGGAGTTTTTTCATTTAAGGATAGTGGCACAAATTTAGCTCCTTTTTTTCTTTTTTTGACGATTTTGCCAATTTCATCATCATGCTCGGAGTCAGAATCATCCGTCAGCGCTTGGAATGAATTTTTCGTCGGTGTCAGGGTTTTTTTGGATTGTTCTCGTATTAACTTCTTGAAGTTTGAGCTAAATTTTCTTGGTGCAATGAATGGCTCTTCATTGCTTTTGGCAGCTTCTAACTCCGCTAATTTTTGCTGTTCTCTACAGTACTGCTCTCTTTGAGCTTGGGTTCTCAGCTCAAAGTAGCTGTTCGGTGAGTGAGGGAGATCATGATAAATATTTTTTGGTATAGCACCTCTACTAGTTTCTTCTTCTGAAGTATTACTGTCAAAATGCAGTATATTATCCACTACTCTGTTTGGAATATCTTTACTTCTAGCTCTCGGATCTGAGTAAGCTCTTAATCTAGGAGAGGGAGGTTTCCTTGGGTCTCGAGATAAGTGGTATTCGCCTCTTTTAGCACTCATGCCAGGAGGGTTTGAGATATGACCAGTTGAGGAACTACTCAGTTCATCCCCCTTCTGCCCACTTTCAAACCCTGCTGTAGGGTTATATGGAGTAAATGGTGGTAAGTTTCCACTGAAATCATTTGTCTGGAAATCTAGTAGCCTTGCGACTACATTTGAGGGCAAAGGAAGTGTTTTCTTTACTATAGGGGGAAGGTTTTCAGGTTTTGAGTATTCTGACTCGAAGACATCTGAATCTTTCTTTTCAGATTCAGTTTCTTTGTTAGAATTTTCAACAACTGTGGTGTCCATGGCATTGTCTACACTTTGTACTGATTCATCCGATTTTTCTAGGACGTTAATTAGCTTTTCTACCTCCTTGTCCGAGTTTTTAGGTCTTTTGTCCTCATTTGAGCTATCTAGCGAGTCCTGGCTGTCGTGGAATTCCATTTCCTCCGATTCAGCCAGGGAGGGCTTTGGGGAGCTCGTGTCCCCTGTTGTAGGGATGTTTGACTCTTCTAAATTGTCCTCAAGTCTTTGAGGGTCATTTAGAGGTCGTTCCTCGAAAAAATTGACCGGGAGGTCCCCCTGGCTGGTACAACTGACCCCAGGATTAGGAAGAGGTTACACACAGTCAGTACTCACTGCGTATGGTAGGTTGTTTCTTAATTTGGTTTAGTAGTTTCTGAGAGAGCTTAGTTTCGCCACCTTTTGTATTGCATCCGTGTCTATTCTGCATCTGTTTTTTAACCTTTTTGTATAAAGTGTTTCAAAGCCTTGATCGGCTTTTTTGGAGGCCCTTTCGGGATATAGTATTTTGATTGCTGCCGTAGTTTTTGCTACCCTATCATTTACATGTTGCCGGAATGTCAGTCTCCTATCTAGTATTATGCCTAAGTATTTAAATTCGTTTTTAGCCTTGATGGTTTGTCCTTGCACTTTAAGTTTATTAATGATCCTATCCGTCTGTTTATATGATAGTATTAGGCTCTCAGTTTTGCTTGGATTTATTTTTATTTTATTACTGTTAAGATAGGGGACTAACATTCTATTGACATGGATGTCCAGTCTTCTGTTCGCAATTTCAGCAGACTGTGATGATTTGAATATACAGGTGTCGTCGGCTGTATACCATTGTGTCCCATTGGCATATCATGAGTCATTATGGCATACAGGTGCGGCGCTAATACTGATCCCTGAGGTACACCCGCCATGGCTGTGTATGGTCCTTTACGTGTGTTGTTTATTTTGATGAAAAATTGTCTGTTTTGTAAGTATGTTTGTATTGTTTTAACAATGTACACGGGGTAGTCATTCATAAACATTTTGTGGATTAATCCGTCAGTCCAGACTGTGTCGAAGGCCTTTGCAGCATCCAGTGTAACTAACACCGTTTGTTGATTAGCATTATATCCTTTTTTAGCTTGATGTGCAATTCGGATTACTTGAGCTACTGTGCTGTGGCCGGCCCGAAACCCAAACTGTTCTGGCGGAATAATTTGTTTGTGGAGTTCGTATGTATGTATTCTTTTTAATATTACTTTGTCCGTTATTTTCGCTAGTCCATTTAACAGTGAAATGGGGCGGTAACTTTCTATTAATTCTTTATTTTTCCCTGGCTTGTGAATTGGTATAATATTAGCTACCTTAAGGGCTGGGGGATAGTGTTGGAGTCTAAGTACTCCATTAATTAGATGATGTAACTGTACTATAGTTTTTTTGCTAATGTTCTTAATCAATTTATTATGGATGTCATCGGGTCCTGGAGCCCTCTTACTAGGCGATCTTTTGATTATATCGTGGACTTCAGAAGGGTTAGTTAGTGCGCTATTAGGTATTTTTTGAATTGGCATTTCATTAATGTCCTTAGTTAGGTTTTGTATTTCATCTTGTTCATGATTATTTAATTGTGGGTTTATAAAGTTATCCTGGAAGAATTCGCCGAACGCATTCCCTTTCTGATCGTCCGTTACGTAAACGTTGTTATTGTGTCTCAGTGTGGGAAGTTGCGAGAACGGCTTTCTAAACCTCCTCACCATTTTCCACACTGAATTGTCATGTATGTTGATGTCTTCTAGGGTTTTTCTCCATAGCTTGTTACGATGTTCATTAATTTCACTGTTGATGTGTTTGCCTATCTGAATCATGTTAACCCTATCGTCATCTTGTCTGTGGGCTTGCCAGCGCCGTCTGATGTAGTTCTTGTGCGTGATGAGATCTAATATCTCTTGAGGAAGATTATCTTTTTGTATTTTGCGCGTAAGTTTCTTGGTTGTAAGATCTCTGGCTTTAATTATGGCTTTGGTTAGCTTATTATATTCTTCCTCAAGAGTATTTTTGTTTGTGATGTTATTGTTTATGTGGATGTTTTTGTCAAGGATTTGTCTGTATTTTGTCCAGTTTGTTGTGTTGTAATCGTAGTACTGGCCCTGTATTCTGGGGATCAAGCGTGTTGTCTTAATCTCCAGATATACAGGGTCATGGTCTGATATAAGTTCTTTAATAGTCCTTGTGTTGTCTATATTCGGAACGTCCTTAGCAACGGCTATATCCAGGGTACTTGGCATGTGATTGTTTTGGAAAGGGAAATACGTAGGGTCTTCCGGATAATGTATGATGCAGTCGTTCTCATCGGCGAATTCGTCTAGGTTTTTACCACTTTTATTAGGTATAGTACAATTGGCGTCCCAATGTGGGTGTTTACTGTTAGATGAGCTACATGTATGCTATAGACCTAAGTGCGTTTCCGTAGATACCTAGTTTGAATGTTATAATAAAATATATATGAGTTTGAAGTAATTCGATATACTGTCAGTTTTTGTATTTATAATAAAGTTGTATTTGTGCCATATTCCTCTGCGTTATTTACCTCCTGCTAACAGGTTATGCGCCCAGTTCCTATGCAAGCTCATAATTAACAGTTAAGAGTTCACAGAAACCTGTTCGAGATGAATACAAGTACCGCAGGAAGATTTGAAGTTCTCAGTAGAGAAAACTACGATACTTGGAAAATGCACATGGAGGCACTATTGATTAAGAATGATGCGTGGACCTACGTGAATGGTGAATTAAAGAAACCTGAGTTAGGTAAAAATAATGCGACTGAAGAAATTATCAAGAACTGGCTCAAGAACGACAGTAAGGCTAAATCAGATATTATCCTTTCAATTGGCCCGTCCGAGCTAAAGCAGGTCAAAGGATGTAATACATCAAGGGACGTGTGGTTGAAGCTAGAAAGCATATATCAATCGAATGGACCCGCTAGAAAAGCCACACTTCTCAAACAACTTACTCTGCAACGTATGGAAGATGGCGAGGACGTACGTGAATACATAACAAAATTTTTCGACACTGTCGACAAACTGAGTGAGTTGGACATCAGTATAAACTCTGATCTATTGGCCATTATGCTCCTGTACAGTCTACCAACTAGTTTCGAGAACTTCAGGTGTGCAATCGAATCCCGAGATGAACTATCACCTGAAATGTTACGAGTGAAAATAGTGGAAGAATATGAAGCTAGGAAAAACGAAGATAGAAAAACAGAAAATGCCCTGTACAGCGGAAAGAATAAATTTAATCAAACGAAGAGGGATGAACGCCCAAAGATCACTTTTAAATTTCGTTGTCATAAATGCAGAAAATTTGGTCACAAAGCCGCTGAATGTAGAAGTAAACGAACACCTCAATCATCCGCCCAATGTACCGAAGCCGAAGACATCAACCTCTTCGCATCGGAGGAAGCATTACAGATAGGAATGTTAGAGAATAATAAATGGTGCTTAGACAGCGGAGCAACTTCCCACTTATGCAATGAAATTGAAAAATTCTCCAAAATTTCAGGAAGTCGACACGGAAGACTGAACTTAGCAAATGAATCTTCAACCGAAATAGAGGCCCAAGGTACAGTCTCTTTCACCATAGATACTCTTGGCAAGAAAAAGTCAATTTCCTTAAATAATACCTTGCATGTTCCTGAACTACGTACAAACTTTTTATCCGTGAGTAAAATCACTGACAGCAACTTTGAGGTATTATTCAAAAAGGACGGGGCTTCAATAATTGGAAAAGACGGTGAAGTGAAACTCATTGCAAAGAGAATTGACGATCTGTACTACGTTAAAGAATACGAACCAAAACATCATTCCTCAAAAGATGATTTAGTATGTATGTCTACAAATTCTCCTTTAAACGAACTAAAAATGTGGCACAGAAGATTAGGTCACTTGAATTTGAATGATTTATCTGAAAGTGTTCGTAAAAACGTAATTTTAGGCGTTGATATTAAAAATTTTAACTTCGACCTAAAATGCGAAGTTTGCTTGAAAGGCAAAATGACAAAATTGCCGTTTCCAAAGAAATCTGAAACTAAAACTGAACTACTAGACATAGTCCACTCAGATGTATGCGGTCCCATGCGAATTGAGTCTAGGAACAAGGCTAGATATTTTGTTACCTTTATCGATGACTCTACAAGATGGTGTGAGGTTAGATTCATGAAATCGAAAGATGAACTGCACAAAATCACCGAAGAAGTCATTAATCTCGTCGAAAATCAGAAAGGCAAGAAGGTAAAGTGCTTACAATCCGATAATGGAGGAGAGTATACTAGTAATAAATTTGAAGAATACCTAAAGAAGAAAGGTATTACTAGACGATTAACCGTACCCTACCATCCAGAGCAGAACGGAGTTTCCGAAAGAAAAAATCGAACTCTTCTGAGCATCGCTAGATGTTTGTTAATTCAATCTGGTTTGCCAACAAATTTTTGGGCAGAAGCAGTTAACACTGCGAACTACACTAGGAATCGTTGTCCTACTAAAAGCCTAAATGGAATAACACCGTTTGAAGCATGGACGGGAAAGAAACCTAACGTGAGCTATTTCAAAGAATTTGGTTGCCAAGTATTTTGCTTAAATAACAAAGAAAAAGGTAAATTTGACTCACGATGTAAAGAAGGTAGATTTTTGGGATACTCTGAACAATGTAAGGGATACAGAGTGTGGATTTCCAAAGAAAAGAAAGTAGAAATATCACGAGATATCAAATTCATAGAAAATTTTGACATAAATTGTAATACTTATTCAGAATTTATTCCAAACGATATTTCACAAAGTCCACAATATGTTGAAATCGAACTAAGTCAACCAGAAATAACAGAAGTAGGGAATAACCCAGAGAAAATAATTGACGATTTACAAGAAGATGAAATCATTGAGGAAAACATTGTAGAAGACCAACAAAGTCTGGCTACTGATTATCAAGAAAACAAAAAAAATTGTGCAGAAAAATTAAGAAGAGGAAGGGGAAGACCGAGATTAATAAGAACAGGATCACTTGGAAGACCACGAAAGGAGTACCAAACCGAAAAAGAAAATTCATATTATTCAAATGAGTATACATTCTTGTCAGAAATACCTTTGATGCAAGCACTACATAGTCCAGAAGCATGTGAATGGTATGAAGCAATGGCAAATGAAATGAAGTCTTTAATAAAGAATGATACTTGGGTAATGGTTAAACGACCTAAGAATAAGAATGTTATAGGTTGTAGAATGATCCTAAGAAATAAATATACCCCTGACGGAATAAAGCGGAAAGCCAGACTGGTAGCTCAAGGATTTAGTCAAAAGCCCGGAATACATTTTAATCAGACTTTCGCACCAGTGGCAAGAATAAACTCGATTAGACTAATAATATCCCTAGCTATTCAACAACAGATGTACATTCACCAATTTGACGTGACTACTGCTTACTTGAACGGAGATTTGAATGAAGAAATTTTCATGGAAAAGCCAAAATTATTCCAAGAAACATTAGAGTACATAATCCAACATGAAAGTGAGCTCTCACTAATCAGAAAGAAGGCAGAAATATGGAAAGACAATATCAAAGATCCTGAGAAAATTTGTTTATTAAAAAAGTCACTGTATGGGCTTAAGCAAGCAGGAAGAAATTGGAATATAAAACTAGATCACACCCTAAAGAAGTTAGGAGCTACACCGACCGAATCTGATCCATGCGTCTACCGTATCGACAAAGGGGAAGAGTCAGCATTCATTGTCATATACGTAGACGACATAATTATAGCGAGCCCTAAAGAAGAGTACATCACGGAATTCAAAAATGAATTATTGAAGACATTTGACATAAAACACTTTGGAGAACTACGTCACTGTTTAGGATTGGAATTTGATCGCAGTGATGGAAAAGTAATCCTAAAACAGAAGGGTTTTATACTTGATATCCTTAGTCGTTTTGGTATGTCAGAAGCTAAACCCGTTGCAACTCCGTTAGAGCTTGGAACGCGACTCATACGAGAACAGAGTGACTGTGACGAAACCTACCCGTTCCGTGAACTTATTGGTTCCCTTACTTATTTAGCAGTCACATCAAGACCCGACATTAGTTTTGCTGTCACTTATTTAAGTCAGTTCAACAACTGTCATGGAAAGTCACACTGGTCGGCAGCAAAGCGCATTTTACGATATTTGCGAGGTACCATGGACAAAGGGATAAGCTTCGAAGCTGAATACATGGGTCTCACAGAAGCTGCTAAAGAAGCAATCCATCTGAAGAGATTAATGGCTGAACTAGGATTTGGATCTGGAAATGGTATAGAAATTTGTAATGACAACCTATCATCCCTAAAATTAGCCGAAAATAGCGTATATCACGCGAGAAGCAAACATATCGATATTAAGTACCATTTCATTAGAGAAGCAATTAAGAATGAACAAATTTTCTTAAAGCATGTACCGACAGATGCTATGGTGGCAGACATCCTCACCAAGGGGCTATCGAAGTGCAAGCACGAGAAATTTGTTACCCAATTAGGAATCACATAATAACCTAGTTTGTAGGTTTCTACGAATCGAGTGGAAGTGTTAGATGAGCTACATGTATGCTATAGACCTAAGTGCGTTTCCGTAGATACCTAGTTTGAATGTTATAATAAAATATATATGAGTTTGAAGTAATTCGATATACTGTCAGTTTTTGTATTTATAATAAAGTTGTATTTGCTCCATATTCCTCTGCGTTATTTACCTCCTGCTAACATTTACAATTGAGATCACCTAGTAGGAGGACTCTATTTCCCGATGTCATAATAGAGTTTAGTTCTAATTTGGTAAAAATATTATTCGGTGGGTTGTATACTCCTACAAATGTAATTTCTTGAATTTTCACAATAATATGTTCTTGTGTTATGTTGATATTATTAATTTGCATAAATAGAATTTTGTTACTTATTATGAAAGCGATACTGCCCCCTCTCTGCCCTTGTCTGTCTTGTCTTACGACATTATACTCTTGTATTTTTAGCGAATGTGTGTCATTGTAGTATGTTTCTGTAATGAGTACAATGTCAAATTTATGTTTATGAATGAAACTGCGAACAAGTGCGGTTTTGTTGCGCATCCCGCGTGCATTGAAGAAATAAATTTTGAGTTTTTGTGTGTTTTTTGAATGAAGTTCAGTTCCTAAGTCTGTATTGATTGTCAACGTCGCTCATAAAAGCGTTGTAGGTCTCTATAATTTGCTGTCCATTTAAGCACTGTTTGAGTGCAGCGTTAAGCGCTCTAATCGCCCTTGTTAGCTCACCTATATTTATAAGTTTGTTCAGCTCTTCAAGTTCCTTATTGAGAGATGTCACGTCATTCATTGTTGAGTTTGGATATTGAACTTTTGATGAATCAGTTGTGGTGGCCTCTACTGATTGTTGCCTATTATTTCTATGGGTTAACGCTGGAAAATCTTCAGTTTTTCTAGCATTATTGTTTTTTCTAGCTTCCCATTGGTTTATTGCGGGTGGGGGAGCTGGTATTAGCTTCCTTTGTTGTACAGGCCTTCTCTCTTCCAACCTCGTTACTCTTTCGAGGTAGGATTTACATTTAGAGTAGTTTGCGGGGTGATCACCCCCGCAGTTAACACAAGTCGCAGGTGTGTCTCTAGACTTGATACACGTGCGTATGTGGTGATCCCCCGCGCACTTAACACAACGTGCTGGTTTACCACAGTTTGCAGTAGCATGTCCCCACTCCTGGCATGTATGGCACTGTATGATTTGCTTAACTGACTTCCTCAACTCCCAGGTCACTCTGGTGTGTAGGACTCTTCTGATGTTCTTATTTAGATACTCCAGAGTGATAACCGGGTCAGTTACTACCAGGTAGAGGGGACGCTCTTTAGTTTTCATAGTGTAAATTTCTCTAGCAACTATTTCATGGTCATCTTCAAGATTCTCTTTTATGTCCTGTATTTTCGTGTTTTCAGCCAATCCTCTGAGCACGAATGCATGTGATTTTTCGCTATATGCAGTGTAGGTATGGTAGGCCATTTTTTCGCTCTTAACATTGTTAAGGACTTTTTCGTAGTCTTCTTTTCCCTCTACAAAGAGAATTGTAGTGCGATTTGTATGTTTCACACTAAATTCTCCTTGTACTAACGCTTTGAGGTCTGCTATTAGTTGATTGGGATTGGCAGTCTTTCCATCAATCACAATTGGTGGCATTGATGTTTTATTTTTGTTGTTTTTGTTTGTATTCTTGTTGCTTGAGTTGTTGTTTATATTATTTGTGTTGCTTGTGCTGGCAACTGGTTGCTTTGGCGGCGCTATTGGAGTTTCTTTTGTATGGAATGGCACAAACCTATGCACCTTTTTTTCGTTTCTTTACGATCTTACCGATTTCATCGTCATTCTCTGAGTCGGATTCGTCGGTAAGCACTTGGTAGGAATTTCTGGTGGTAGTTAGGGTTTGAACTGCTTTTTCCCTTATCATTCTGTGGAAGTTTGAGCTAAACTTACGTGGCACTGTAAATTGCTCGTCATTCTTTTTGCTGATTTCTTCTTCAGCTTTTTTTTGGTCTCTTTCCCTTTTGTAGTCCTCCCTTTGTTTTTCGCTGCGGAATTCAAAGAGGCTGTTTGGGGAATGTGGCATCTTATCGTCCCTATTAAATCTTTCTCTTACAGTCAGTGTATCTTCTTCTGAGGTTTGACTTTGATACTGTAAAATACTTTTGTCAACACTATTTGGGATCTCTTTCCTTTTAATTCTAGGGTCTGAGTTAGCCCTTTTCCTGATGGTGCTTTGTACAGGTAGCAAGCCACATTCATTTCAAAACAACTTTATTTACATTATGTACATAGGTTTATAATAACACATCAATTATAATATATTGTAGAAGGATTTCTTCGCATACGTGCTCTTGAAGTTTCTCTTCTACATGTCTACAGGGACCTGGCCGATGGTATGACCGTATAATCAAAGCGTATTATTTAAAATTTGTGTATGAGTGACCTCTCCTTACTGTAAAACAGTATTATAAGTCAATACTGACGAACTCATTTGAACAATATTGGAAAAGTTCGGATTTTTTTGTTGAATTTAATTTTGAAAAACCGTTCGTAAAAAACAGGGTTGTCCTTGTTTGTAAGTACGTCTTTTGTTAGTTTATGTACATGAAAATTCAAATCACAAGACTACACAGTAGCACCACAGCCCGATACAAACATCGCAGCAAGCCACGAAATTTTCGCACCGAGCGATGACGTCACAGTGCAGTCCTCCGTCCGACCAAAGTTGCTAACTAGTCGACGTTGTGATTTGAGTATTCAGTGGGGTTTTCGCTGCTAAGGTGGATGTATGTCTTCGTTTGAATTTATATTTTCATTATCCGTCTCTTGTATAGATCTTGAGTGCTTTGTGCAAACACCCATGAATTCTATTAACACCATCCCCTTGGTGCATAGACATTATGTCAGTTTTAAGGTCTGGGGGTAGACATTTAGAATAAAAGCCCTCTGACAGTCTAAGGATATGTTCTTTAATAGTTTCCATAGATGTTTGCTCATGCATTTCTCGAATTCTGGCATAACGGTCGTACCCCAATGCCAGTCGAAGACACCTGTTTTGTTGGATTTGTAATTTATTGAATTGCGTGTTGGACATTGAGCAGAAGACTGGACTTCCGTATAATAAAATTGGCCTTAATACTTGTTTGTAAATGAGTAATTTATTCTTCGATGTTACCCCACTTCTCCTGTGTAGCAAAGGATATAGTGCTTTAATTGCGCCAACAGTTTTAGCGACTCTATCTTTGATATGTGGGCCAAATTTAAGCCTTCTATCAAGTATAAAACCCAGATATTTGACTTTATTTACAGTGTTAATAGTTTGATCGTCAACTTTGAATTTTGTAATGATACCCTCTGTGTACCTATGCGATAATAATAAACTCTCTGTTTTAGAGGTGTTTATCTTAATTTTATTTTCTTTGAAATAAGGTAAGACCGATCTATTTACATGGATGTCCAGCCTTCTTGTTGCAATTTCTGCAGATTCCGAGGTTTTAAAGATACAGGTGTCATCGGCGTACAAGGCCGTCTGTATACCATTAGTTCCCATGGGAAAATCATGAGTCATAATAGTATACAGGTGGGGCGCAAGTACCGAACCTTGAGGGACTCCCGCATGCGCAGTGTATGGTCCTTGTCTCGAACTATTGATTTTAACGTAGAATTTACGGTTAAGTAAGTATGTTTGAATTGTTTTTACAATGAAAACAGGGTAATCATTCACAAACATTTTGTGGATTAAACCATCGATCCAGACGGTGTCAAACGCCTTTGCAGCATCGAGAGCGACAAGTACTGTTTGCTTATGTTCATTAAATGCCTTTTTAGCGGTAGCTTCCAATATCAAATCTAGATTTGCCGTGCTTGTGTATTGGAACGACATTAGCAACTTTTAATGCGTCCGGATACCATTGGAGTTTGAGTATTGCGTTTATAATGTAGTGCAATTGTACAAAACATTTTTTGGATAGATTTTTTAGTAGTTTATTGTGTATATCGTCAGGTCCTGGAGTCCTCTTACTGGGTGACCGTTTAACAATATTTATAATCTCTGAGGGAGATGTAAGTTGTTCTGGAGGAACATTTTGTATTGGTATGTTGCTAATATCTTTCACGATGTTAGATATTAATTCCTGTTTGGGGTTATTAGCCTGCTCATTTTTGAAATTCTCCTGAAAGAATTCACCGAAAGCTGTACATTTTTGTTCGTCAGTTACGTAAGTATTGTCATTTTGTTTCAGTATGGGAAGTGAAGAGAACGGCTTTCTGAACCGTCTCACCATTTTCCACACTGAATTGTCACGTACGTTAACCGCTTCCAGGGTTTCGCGCCATTTTGTGTTTCTATATTCGTTTATCTGAAGATTTATAGCTCTACCGAGTGTTTGTAGCAAAACCCTGTCAGCGGCCAGTCTGTGCGACTACCAGCGTCGTCTGATTGTGTTTTTATTCTTGATGAGGTCTAGTATCTCTTGAGGAAGTTTATCTTTGTAAGGTTGAATAGTGATAACTTTCGTAGATTCATTTCTGGCTGTGTGAATAGCCTTAGTGATGTTGTTAAGTTCTTCCTCAAGAGTACTTTTGTCAGTGATGTTATTGATTGTAATGTTACTGTCTAACGTCTTCCTGTATTTAGTCCAGTCCGTAGTGTTGTAATCGAGAAAACGTCCCTGTATACCTGGAATCCGGATTATGGTCCTGATTTCCATGTATACCGGGTCGTGATCCGATGTCAGTGTCGTTATTGTCCTTGTATTTTCAATATTTGGTATGTTTTTGGCAGCCGCAATGTCAAGGGTGCTAGGACGGTAAGAGGGATTGGAAGGGAAGTAGGTGGGTTCTTCAGGATAATGAATGATGATGTCGTTGCTTTCGGCAAATTCATTCAAATTCCGGCCACTCTGATTCGGCACGGTACAGTTGGAATCCCAATGTGGGTGCTTTGCATTTAAATCGCCCAGTAAAAGGACCCTATTCCCTGACGACATGATTTTATTAAGTTCTAATTTACTAAATGAATGATTAGGGTGGTTGTAAACCCCTACTAATATTAAATTACTGAGTTTAATTCGGATATGCTCTTGAGATATCTCAAGGTCATCAATTTGTTCGTGTGGCAAATTAGATTTGATAAAGAATGCGACACCACCCCATGACTGATCTTGTCTGTCACGTCTTGTGGTATCGTACCCTTGTAATTTGATTTTGTCAGTTTCGTTGTAGTGAGTCTCTGTAATAAGTACGATGTCGAAATTATGTTTGTGAATAAAACTGCGTACAAGATGTGTCTTGTTCTGCATCCCATTTGCATTGTAGAAACAAATTTTAAGTTTTTGTTTGTTCTTAGAATCAAGTTCAGTTCCTAAGATTGAAATTATTGTCAACGTTACTCATGAATGCATTATAAGTCTCTATTATTTCCTGACCCGAATTACAATTTACTAGTTTAGCATTCAGTGCTCTTATTGCTCTCGTAAGTTCGCCAATATTAACTAACCTGTTAAGTGTGTTAAGCTCCTGGTTTAGTGCAGAGAAGTCACTCATATTAGAATTTGCATTTGAATTCGCGTTAGCCAATGGTGGTCTTGCGTTCGGCACCTTCTTGTCTTGAGTTGCTTCATTTTTGCTGCTAGGTAGTGAGGGAAATTCAGTATTTATACTTCGAGCGGTCTGTCTGGCATCCCATTGGTTAATTTTGGGCTTGGGGGCGGGAACATATTTCAGTTGTGGTTTTGGCCGTCTCTCTTCGAATCTTTCTAATTTGTTAAGATATGACTTACATTTCGAATAATTTGCGGGGTGATCACCCCCACAATTTACACAGATTGCCGGTGTATCCCTGGTTTTGGCACATGTACGGGTGTGGTGATCACCCGCACATTTTACGCATTTTGACGGCCGACCACAGTTGGACGTAGCGTGCCCCCATTGCTGGCAGTTATGGCATTGTATTATTGGTTTTGCCGATTTACGCAGCTCCCAGGTTACCCTCGTATAAAGCACTATGCGCGTATTCTTGTTTAGATATTCGAGGGTAATCGCTGGATCGGTAACTACCAGGAATAGGGGTCTCTCCTTGGTATTCATCTGATATATGTTCCTTACCTTAATTTCGTGCTCTTCTTCCAAGTTTGTTTCGATGTCCACTATCTTAGTGCCCTGCACAAGCCCTCGCAGGACAAACGCATGGGACTTATCATCACTGGAAGTATAAGTGTGGTAGGCCAGTTTTTCCGCTCTGATGTTGTTGATGACTCTAGTGTGGTCTTCTTTATCGTCAACGAAAATAATGGTGGTTGCGTTCGTGTGCTTAATACTGAACTCCCCTTTTACATGCTCCTTTAAATCTTTGATTAGCGTCGTTTGGTCCTTTGTTTTCCCGTCGATAACAATTGGTGGCATTGTTTTTCGCGAGTTTTTCACATTTTTTTGTTGCTGTCCGTTGTTTATCTGTGCGTTTGTTTTTTGAATGGTGGCTTTAGGGGTGGGAGGTACGTCAGCCATGTCTAATGGTCTAAACTTGGTTTTCTTCCGCTTTTTGACGATCTTACCGATTTCGTCATCGTCAACGTCATCTTCAGACTCGTCCGTAAGGGGAGCGAATTTATTTTTAGTGGTGGTGATCGTGCTCTTGGTCTTTTCCCTTATTAGCTTTTCAAAATTGGAGGAAAACTTCCTAGGTGTAACAAAGGGCATTTCGTTACTCGCCTTTTTAGCAGCCTCAATATCGCGCAGTTCCTGTTCGTATTTAGCTCTGTCGTTGCTGTTCCTGAATTCGAACAGGCTATTTGGGGAATGAGGCAGGTTTTTGTAGGGATCATTTCCGCCTCTATGGTCGTCCTCTGAAGTCACACTTGACTCATAGTTATGGATGTTGGAGTCTACCCTCGTAGGCACTCCACGCCTTTTTTCGCTCCTTATTCTAGGGTCTTTACTAATAGCACCCTGCTCTTTAATTTGTATGTCAGCCATATTGACTGTCGCACCTAACATTGTGGTAGGGGGTGCAGGGTTGTACCCAAAGCTAAAGCTACTCGATCCACCCTCGCTTTGGGACAATCCCACACCTCCTATTGGTGTGAGGGTAACTTGACTTGGATTGTTGTGATAGTCATTAGTTCTGAAATTTAGTAGGTTACTCATCACCTTGTCTGGTAGGCTGAGTGTTTTGACTTGTTCTCCTGCAGCGTTGCTAACGTAAGCTGAGACAAAAGTTTCCGAATCCGGTGGTTTTTCACCCGGCTCCCGTCTTGGATTGTCCGTGTCCACCACTGTAACTTCCATCTTGCTCTCAGCACTGGATTGACTTGATTGGGAATTTAACGAGTCATCTGACTTTTCAAGATCGCTAATTAATTGCTTTACAGAATCACTGTCGTCCTGACTATCGTGGTACTCTAGGGATGAATCAGAGGATGCTACCGACGGTTTTCGCGGGTTTTCCCCTTCTTTTATTATGATTGTTGCCGGCTGTGCCGCCTCAGCAACACCTTGGCGGTCACCTGAAGGTCGTCCAGCCGAAATTTTGGCCAGGGGGGCCTCCTGTTCGGTGCAGATGACCCCGGTGTTATTTTTAGTTAGTGAGGATGCAGAGATTTGTTCAGTACTTACATTTATTTGTTCAAGTTGTGTTTTGAGCTTTGTTTTGGAAGGTTTGGGTGACTTATAAATTGTAGGAGTAGATATTTTCTTTAGGGCATCAGCGTTGATCAATTTTGCTTTGAGGCGTTTGGAATATTGAGTTTGAAAACCCCCTGAGGGTGCTTGAGGTGCCCGTCCGGGCTCGGACATTTACCGTTTCCCTAACACTGGGAAATGCTTACACTGGCGTTGAGAGTTTACAATAATGTTAGAAAAATATAAAATGCTGTCAGTTGTCAACCTTATCTCTAGAAATCACGGAGATACGGAGTACAAACGTCACCTAGAACAGTTCTAGGTAAACTAGTAGCAAGCCACAAATTTTCGCACAGGGCGATGACGTCACCGTGCAGTCGTCCGTCCGACCAAAGTTGCTAACTAGTCCGAGGTGTAATTTGAATATTCAGACACACACACACACAGTTCACCGCAGCAGCCGCAACGACTAGACGTACTTCGATCGCTCCCAGTATTTCAAAGCCAGTGTGACTCGAACGGCCTGTAATCTCTTCGGAAGGAGCAGCGTTCGTAGTGAAGATTGTGACTTCAGTGTTTATTAGAAGATTTTTAGGCAATTGCCGACAAATTTAATTCGAATAAGATTTGAAAAATATTAATTTTACATTTTTATGTTTTCAGATTCTTTTACGATTTTACTAATAAAAATTGGAGATTGTGAAAGATTTCTACCAATTTTTCTCTTTCAGCGATACTAATAAAAATTGGAGATTGTGAAAGATTTCTACCAATTTTTCTTTTTCAGCGATATTAATCAAAATTGGAGATTTGTGAAAGATTTTCTACCAATTTTTCTCTTTTAGTGTTACGACCATTAGGTATGGCCCCCACAGGGGCAAAACCTAAAAACTTGGACGGAAAGTCCAAGGAAGAGGAAAGTATTGTAGAATTTCTGAAGGACACAAATAGGAAACTTGTGAAGCAGGTTGAAAAACTGAATAATCAAGTGGCAAACTTGACGTTACAAGTAGCTACTCTCCTCTCTCCTAGGAGACTACAAGAACAAAAACAAAGAGGAAAATCCAGCCGAGGACTTCATTACCGAGGCAATGGCCACAGAACTCCCAAATTCCGACGATGAATTTACGGAAGTAAAATCTAGAAACACCCGTAAACGGGGAAGAAAGACGACGGCAAGTGGCGCTGGAAATACCTCGTCAGAGGAAGATGACCCCGCAGACAGCAACTTAACTCCCAGGACCGGATCAAAAAGTCGCAGATGCAAATCTCCGACTTTTTCACCGGCCAGGGATGAAAGTATTGTTGTGAAGGATACGGACAGTCTGGATGCGAGTAAGGGATTCAATCTGCCGGTAAACGGTAGAGCCTCCGAGGCATTCAAACTCCCGTTATCCAACACAACAAAGCCGACGGCGAAGTCTCCGAGAGAGGATTTCCCACCGCTACCCACGCCGAAAAAACCGATTTTGACGCAAATACCAATTAGGACAACGGCACCGCCTACACAAGCACCTGGTGGTTCCAAATCAGTGGAGGCAAAAGCCAATGCGAACGCTACGGGAAGTGATGAACCCCGTAACCTCGCGGCCGAGCCGAAACAGACAATGATCCCACCGGTGGTAGTGGAAAGCGGGGCCAAAGACTGGCCGAAGATTAGGCGCGGCCTAGTAGAAAGGGGTATCCCTGTCACTAAAGCCGCTACGCGAAATGAAGAACTAAAAATCTGGCCAGCAACCTCCGACGCATACAGGGCTTCAACGAAGTACCTAGATGAAATAAAAGCCAAATACCATACGTATCGGCTTGAGGATGAGAAATGCCATAAAGCGGTCCTCCGTGGACTCCCGAAGGAAACGGACATAGAATACATTATCGAGGATCTTGAAAACCAGGGCTTAAAACCTCTGAGAGTGCAGAGAATGACTGCAAGACGGGACAGGCAACCATTGCCCCTGTTCTTAATAGACGCTCCGCTCGACGAAAGAGCCGCGATAATGAAGGAAACGCGATGCCTAGACCTAGTGGTCCGCATGGAACCACTGCGTAACAACACCGTCACGACACAGTGCTACAGGTGCCAAGGTTTCCAGCACACACAATCGGGATGTCACAGAGATATCAAATGCGTAATTTGCGGAGAAGAACACCGCGCAGAGCAATGTCCTAGACGGACAAACAAGGATGCCAAGGCCACTTGTGCCAATTGCGCAGGAGAGCATCCCGCAAATTACCGCGGCTGCTCAAAATACCAACAAACGAGAAATAGACTACCACAAAAACCACGTCAGAAACCGATCACAAAACCCGCCCACGTCACAGAGAGAAGCTTTGACTCTTAAGGAGTCTACCCTCATACCGTGAGGCATCGGGTTTTTGTTACCCGCTATCTAGCAAAGCCGCGGCCAATGGAACCCATCCCAACTTCCACACTCCTAAAAATTAGCGGGGGCCGAATCCTGGTGTTCTTTATTATTATATTTTTTTTTTTTACATTTTACATTTTTGTCCTTACATTTGTTTTCCTTAGGTGGTAGAAATATAAATAAAATAAAAAATTTTTACAATGCTTAAAATTGAATTAAATTAAGAAACAATTTGTTGGGTTATAATGTAGGTTATTTACAAGTTTTTTGGTAGGGAAACTCGCAGGTTTCCACGTGAGCGGAGAACCTGAAGAACGTTATTTCTCTTATTATGTTGTTAGTCCCCCGTTTCGTCGTCGTCTATCATTTCCCCTGCCCATTCGTTTAACCAGTGGGCCAGATCATTGTCCGTGAGGTCTATGTCCGTTGGTAAGTAGTCGAGTCCTCTGTCCGTTAGTCTGTGTCTGAGTAATGATCTGGCCGCCTGTCTTTTGTCACTAGTGCAGTCGTAAGTTATGTGTTTCGTGTCTTCTGTCACGTCGTCTATGTCGCAGGTACCGTCTGTGTCTTGTAGGTTGAATCTTTGTAAGTATGCGTTCATGTTTCCGTGGCCTGTCAGTATTTGTATAGTTTTTCTTGTTAGATTTAGTTGTTTGTGTCTTACTGTTTTTATGTTGTCGTATGTGGTGCGTCCTGTTAGTCCGTTGTCCCATGTGTCCTGCCATATAGCCATTGTCTTGTCGTGTTTTGTTTTTCGTATTGTTGTTCTGTCGCTGTAGTATATTGTCTCAGTCGGGTGTGTGTGAGCTTCGTTGGCAAGTCTATGTGCCCTTTTTAGTCCTGGTGTGTTGCGGTTAGTATGTATGTAGCTGATATTTGTATTTTGTTGTGCCGCTATATATTGTGATGGTTTTATTTTTTTTTTATTATTATTTTATATTATTAATTTATTTTTTATAATATATTTTTTTTATATATTTACTTTATTTAAATATTATTTAATTTATTTAAGATATTTTATTTTTTAACTTACCTTAATTTTTCTTAGCCAGCTAGTCAGTCTTTAAAGCAAACAGATTCTCTCATCTCAAGGGCGGTTCTGTCAAAATCGTGTTCTATATGACAAATATTTTTCCTTTATTTTTTTAACTGATTATTATTTTTTTTTTAATACCTTAATAAAAATGTACCTTTTTTTTTACCTAATTTTACCGTACTATAATTTTTCTTGAAATAAATTTGTTTTTAATTAAAAAAAAAAATATCCATTTATTTTCAATTAAATCCAGCAAAATGTGTAAATAATGCATAAAAACTTTAAATACTAAATACCTTATATCTAGTTACTAACTAATATTAATAGTTGAAATTATTTTTTATTTTTTTTTTTAAATTTACATAATTTCAACTAAAATTAAA